TTATAATTTATATTATTTTTAGTTATTCAATAAATTATAAGAGATTTATGTATAGGTTATGTTATCTTAAATTCTCTTTTAATATAAATATTTAAATTTAAATATTTTATCTATAAATAAAAATATTTTTTAATAATTTATAATATAGCTCTATAATCTTCCTTCATTTTTAATATTGTTTATTGTACTATGTGTATACAACTGTGTTATCTTGTATTATAAACGTAATAATTTTATCAAAATAATTTTAATTTTAAAATTAAATTTACATAATTAATATAATATAATTGTTGTTTAAACGGACATGAGAGGATGTTAATATTTTTTTTACACACATAAAAGACTCTCAAACACTTTTTTTTTTTTAAATATGATGTTCTATTTTTTTTTTCAAAATTTTAATAAACTTTGGTTATAACTCTTATAATTTTTAAAAAATATTTTTTTCTTAAAACTTTTCTCTGACTCACCGAGCCGAAAGATGAGTTGCATAATGGTTCCAACGCTGAGTAAAATGTTTATTATTGAGTCTAACATCATGCATAATAAATGACAAGATATCTTAATTGTTTTAAAGATAATATTGGGTGTTTTTGCATTATGGATGGAAGGGAAAAAAGCATATTAAACAAAACAGGTAAGGTAAGATTCACGGATCTAATTGTTGAATCATCTACATTATTTCTGTAATTATTTATATAAAATTTTATATAATTTAAACATTTGTGACTATATCATCTAAAATTTAATATTTTTTATCTTTCAAAATTATACTATCCATTAAAATAAAATAATACAATAAAGTACTTAAGTTAATGTTTGATAAAACAAACTATCTGTGAAATTAGTGTACTTAAAATTGAAATTATTTTACAAACTAGATGTGCAACTAGCTGATTAGTGTTAAATAACTTAAAAAAATATAGTATATTACATTAACATAATATTAAAATTTATTACTTATTTTATTTGTTTACAATCAATTAATTAAATAATTATATATAAAAATATTTTTTTTTCATATATATTTAAATATAAAATATTTATAGGCATATTTTTTTTTAATATCAAATACATTTGGATAGATGTGATAGAAGAGCATAAAAAAAATGAGATTGTTTTGAACGTGGAGAAAAAAAAATTAACATGAGTATATTAAGTTTTGATTTTATAAAAAATAAAAATATAATAAAAATATTGGTAGTTAACTTTTAAAAAATAATTTTATATAGTTTTTAAAAAACTAAATTTCAAAATTTACGAGCTCGTTTTATCTTGTATGTACCAAGCATCTCTACAAACTTATTGACTTAGTTAATAATTACAAACTTCTAAATAAATTACAAGTTACGTTTACTAAATATAAGCTGGACTATGCTTATTTACAAACATAGATTTTTCTATGCACTCTTTTGCAGGAAACTATTTATAAATTTACTTGTAACTTTTCCTAAAATTTTACTTTTGGATTTATCTTCATAATGTTTTTGGGATTTTTTGCCTTGTTTTTTTCACAATAAATTACCTATGAATTCACCCTTCCAAAATCTAGCAAAAAGAAAACTTTCAAATTTTACTTTTTGCATGAACAAATACCTACGAAGATTTTCTTCTATGAAAATAAATCTGTATGAAACTTCACAAGAAAAAGATGTTTTTATGCAATTTTTAATAATTTTTACAAAAGCAATTTGCAGGAAAAAACTTAAATTCTAGTAGTCATGAAGTAGTAAGCAGTTGAAATGCCAAATTAGAATGTCTTCAATTAATGAATTCTCCAATGATCATATGAAGTGGAATACGTAAATCCTTCGGATATGTGTTCCCTAAAACTATACAAGAGTCATAAGACATCTCTGTAATTATTTTTAAATTTTAAAATGCTATCAGTAAGTAAAACACTTTATAAATAAGGAGACAGTGGTGTTGCATATCTAATAACAATACAAAGATGAGTTAATCTTCCGTAATAGAATGCAAAGATGTGGACAATATTATACAAACATTAATTATGGGATATAAAATCTAATATTATCTGCCACATAAACTTTAGAAAAGTTAACTTTTATTTCGTAAGAGTCTCGAGTCAATTATAGACAATAATGTCAAGTGTTGTTAGGTTAAAAAGATAAAAAACAAAGTTGACTAACTAATAGATAATCGTTCGCAGTAAAATAAATGTTTTAAAAATCTAGCTTGAAGATTTATATTTGGTTTATGATTTAATGCTGCATATGATTTTGAACCAATAACTGTAGTAACAATGCTATATGCATATGATGATATTTTGTAATTCACCAAGGTTATCCATCTTGCACATTAGATTGATAATTTGACAATAGATAATAATAATTAATACATAAATGCATGCAGTATCCAGCCCTATAATCTAAATAATAATTGTATCATTCTTCTTTACAAGCAATAATTAATGTGTAGTTCCAAATCATTGAATTTCATTTTCTTTTAAAATTAAACAAAATATTATAAAATTCCTCGTATATTTTATTTTCGTGACTCAGTTATCAAGAATAAAAAAAAACTTTAATTCTTTGAAATTCATGAAAATTATCTAAACTGTTGATCGAACATTAAAAAGTGTTAAATTGAATTGGGTTACTACAGAAATTGCAAATTTATTGTGAGATTGAATAAATGAAACGTGCGAAAGAATGATGTGATTGCACATCAAATTGTATTCTACATGGATAGTGATGAATGCCGTTTCCAAGTCGAACACTGTTTTGGGAAGTTATGTATAGGTAATTCACTTTTCCATTACCTGAAATTTCAACGTAAACACTAGGGTTGACCAATGACCTGGTTACAAACTTAACCATTTTACACGCATGTTAGCTGATGTTACAGCTCTTTAACGTGAAAAATTGATTTTAAAATATAATTTTAAGAGTATTTTGCACGAGACATTATGTATTTTGTGCCCGACGTATAGTTTAAGTAGGCACAGGTATTTTGTTTGCAAATTCCAATTGGAAGAAGGTAGCATCGTAGAAAAATTCATTTATGAGCTTGGCTCTTGATTTGACATCCATAAATGGTGTGTGTGTTGTTGTTTCATTGACTGAAATTAAGTGAAAAAATCTTCTGATCTTAATTCCCTGTGACACGTTTTGGCATTTTTCTTATTTTAAACAAAATCTATTTCAAATAAATTAATTTTAATTGACGGTTTATTTTGCATTCATGCAATTTTATTTTTTATGATTTCTCTTATAATCTCAAAAAATAAGTAATTAATTGTCCATTCAATCAGCTTAATTAAATTAACTCTGATTTGTGCGGGCATACGTTAGTGGAGACTTATTTTTTTAATTAGGTTAATGAACCAATGTTATTATAGAATATAAGTTGAAGAAATCCAATAATTCAATATATCAACTTTTTAATGTATACAAAATTATACATAATAAAAATTCATATATATATATATATATATATATATATATATATATTCAAAAATTTATTGAATTCAATATATTAATAGTATTAAGTTCTATACTTACATTGAAAAATTATTATTTCTTAATTTCTTATCATTTTTAGTAAAAAAAGCTTTCTTCAACTATAAAAAGTACTTTTACGTAACATAATAATTCATAGTAACTTAAAAAAAAAATTTATTTAATATATTAGTTTGGTATAGTACATTTATAGTCCTTCAACATTTACTTTTGTTAGTGTGACTCTTAAATCTGATTTTCAATTTAATTTAAATAAAAGTATTGGTTTAAATTTTAAAGTTTTTTAGTAACGATAATAAAATAAATAAACTAAATAATTACATATTATATAATAGCTAGTCTGTAGAATTTTTTTGCCAATCATAACATTCAAATAAAAAAGCATTTCAAAATATAAAATCAAATTTAGTTGTTATTCTATTATATATAATAGTAAAAGATACAATATCAAAAGTAACAACTATACAGTGCATACAATTTTTGTTTTCATGAATTAACACTAATAGTCAAAATACAGTAAGCATTAATTTCTATTAGAGAAGCATCAATATTACTCCAACTATCATTTATGATTCATCTAAGAATATAGTAACAATTAGATTATTTACAATATTTTTATAAACAAAAAATATTATCATTAAAATACTTTTGACTTGCAATAATGATTTTGGGAAAAGATTAAATAGAATAGCTTTGCCTTTTTTTATTTTTAATTTGTTACTCTCTTCCTTTAACTGATTTTATTATTGATCTAAACATTCTCTTGACCAAAATTCTTAGACCGTGTGAATTTTTATATATATTTTTATTTCTCTTACTGTTTAAAATTCTTGTACTAAATTATTAAAAATTTGTCACGAGAACAAGTTATCAACATAAATAGGCATGTGCATGAGCGCAATATAATTGTAGTACAAATTTGAACTATTGTTTAATATTTTAATACTTAAGTAAAGAATTTGAAAGAAAACACGATATATTTGTAATAGATTAATTAAGTACAAAATTATGCGATATAAAATAATAACCTTTTTATCACTAAAAATTGAAGAGGGTCTAACCTTACATTTTGAGTAGGCATGTGCATGAGCGCAAAATTAATTTTAGTACAAAATTTGAACAATTGTTTCATATTAAAATACTTAAGTAAACAATTTTGCAAGAAAACATGATATAACTATAATAGATTAGCTGCTGACTTTGTTTGAATTATTTTTGATATTAGGATTTATTTAGCCTATAATATGCTATTTTGTAAATAATTGACAGCTTTTGAATAAGAAACAACTTCTGTTCTTATTTTTTGTACGAGTCAGAGAGTATTTGCTATAGAGATTTTAAATTCTGGTTATAAGTCACATAGATATTAATTGTACTATATAAAGCCATGTAACTTATTTTACCAAGACAAAGATAGGAAAGTCCGTATTAAATTTGATCAGCCACGAAATACTGTGAGTTCATAGCTTCATTATTTGATAATTTTAACTTGCAGAACATAAAATACTAATTACCATATTACTGAAAAGATTTTAGTTTAGACCACACATAATTAATAATACAAAAATAGACAGAGCTCCATGATTTATAAATGAATGAAGGAGCAACCACAGCCCAGAATCCCACCATAAATCCAAATGTCATACTCACTAAAAACCAATTCACTTCATGTCCTTCACTCTCATTGCCATTTTGATCAATATTAGGAATTTTCCCATTTGAACTGCAGTTGATGGGCAACGGCTCGCCACATAGGTTATTGCCAACAAAGTTGGATGCCTCAAGGGATTGCAACTGAGTGCCTGTTGGTATTTTGCCCTTCAAATGATTATAAGACAAGTTCAGCAAGCTAATAAAGCTCAAATTTGATATGGTTGTGGGGATTTCACCAGAAAGTTGATTCCTCGAAAAATCAATAGATTGCAATGAACGCATGCAACCAATGCTTTGTGGAATATGACCAGTTAATTGATTGTGAGACAAGTTCAAAAAATTCAATCCATCTAGATTTGTGATTTCTCTAGGAATTTCTCCTATTAATTTGTTATCTGAGAGATCAATGCTTGTTACCAAACCAAGAATGTTTCTATACTCGTCTCCCCTTCCTTTCAGCCACAGAAGCATGCTCACAACACTAATTCCAGAACTGTTTACTGATAAACAATAGATAAATGGATGTGTACTTCTGTTTGGCAGCATCATGGCATTCAAGTGATTGAAACAATTTGGGATATTGCCCGATAAACTATTGTTTGCAAGGTCCAAAACCTGAAGAGATTTCAAAGCACATATTTGATTGGGAATGTAACTCAAAAATTTGTTTGATCGAAGCCGAAGAAATTTCAAATCTATAAGTCTTTCTCCTATCCATGCTGGAATGTTTCCTGAAAAATTATTTTCCCCAAGGTCCAACAATATTAACTTAGTAGTGTTCCTTAAAATCAGGGGAAAATTTCCAGAAAGTGTGTTGTTGCGGAGTTGCAAAGACTGAAGCAACGATAAAGAGCCCATAGACGAGGGTAAATTCCCAATAAAATGGTTGCTTTGTAAATTTACATTCACAAGATATGGCCACATTAGCCAACAATCAGGAATTTCCCTTGATAAATTATTTGATGCAAGGTTGAGAAATTCTAATTTCTTTGGCTTGTCATGATTTTTGCAAAGGAATTCAGTCATGGATCCGGAGAACAAGTTGTGTGATAGGTCTAAGTGAATCATTTTATCAAAAAGTTGAGGCAGTTGGCCACGTGAGCGATTTGAGCTTAGATCCAATGTATTTGGAAGCTCACCATGGATGCTATTATGAGAGAGGTCCATATCAGACGCCTGAGAAAATGTTTCCCAAAACCAAGTGGGAATAGAATCTGAAATCCCTGTGTTAGAGATTCTCAGAGCATTAAGATATTTTTGTGACTGAATCCACGACGGAAATTTGGGACCTAAGTTCCATGAGCTCATTGTCAATCTAGTAACTTGAAATCTAGGACTCCAATTAGGAGTCACTTCTAAAGAGAAGTTGTTCCCTCTCGCAGAAAATCTCTTTAAGTTCGTAAGATTTGCAAGATCATCTTCCTTCACAACTCCTTGAAAACAATTGTCGCCAATAGAAAGATATGACAATTTAGAGATCGATCCAAGACTTTCAAATGGATTTCCATTGAATAGATTGTTGGACAGATCAAGAACCCTTAATGACGAGAGTTTTCTAACTGATGGAGGGAGTGCACCATGAATTGAATTGTTGTAAAAGTTTAACATCTCAATATTTTTTAACATCCCAATTTGATCTGTGAGATTGCCTGAAAGATGAGAGCTCCCAACTTGAAGACTTGTGAGTCCATGGGAAATACAAGGAGCCAGAATTTCCAAGATTTCACTAACTCGTTGGTTGAGTTTGAGACGTGAGAAACCAACTTCCCTTATGTTGCAGAGATTACCCAAAGAAGTTGGAATTCTTCCTTCAATCTGATTTGCAGAGAAATAAAGTGCAACCAGAGAAGTCAAATTTCCCAGGGCATCAGAAATATTTCCACACAAGTTGTTGTTCGAAAGGTCTAAGAACTTGAGATGACGAAAACTATATATCCATTCAGGTAAAGAAGTTGAGAATGAATTGTAATACAAGTCAAGATTTTCAAGAAGTGTGAGGTTTTGAAGGCCATCAGGAATTGGACCTTCGAAGTGATTACCACTTAATCGAAGAGAAACAAGTCTCCTCAGTCCAAATATCCACTTTGGGACAACAGAAGAAAAATGAGTAAAGGAAAGGTCGAGAGTGAGAAGAGATGAAAAGTTGAGTGAGGATGGTTGATTATAAGGATGGACAATACAATATGACAAGTGTAGGTCCGTCAAAGAAGGAAGAGCACTCAGAGTTTGTAGCCAATCAAAGGATTGGGATAGGTTTGCACCTCCCAAATCAACATACTGAAGATTGGAAAGACCCGATAGCCAATCAAGATTTTCAGCAAACACAGTTTCACTGTTTGCAAGGCCAAGACGAACCAATTTTGTGAGGTTCCCAAATTGAGGAGGAATCTTCCCACTGAATCCGGCATGAGAGAGGTTGAGGTAAGTTAGGGAGGTGATTGCTCCAAGGAAAGCAGGAATTTGCATACCGCCAAAGTCATTGCCGCTTAAGTCCAAGTAATTCAAATGCTTCAAATCAACCAAACATGGATTTATCTCCCCACCAAACATCGACTTCAGAAAAGCATCATATTCGACATCGTCGTACTCGTCAGAAGGAGGTGAAGTACCGAGGTGAAGCTCAACAACATGGGCAGTTATATTACTGCACACAACTCCTAACCACTCACAGCAATTGGTATTAGCAGTTGCATTCCAAGAAGAGAGCCTATTTGAAGGATCAATGAGATGATCCTTCAACTTCACAAGTGTTTCACTCTCGTTTGGTATGCACACTACATCTCTCGATGCCTTGCAAATTACTACAAGAAACGTCAACAAGGCAAGACACATAAGGCTAACAATGGAGGAATTCATGATCACACAATGCATTCCAAACAATGTTATTTAAGTGATTCTTGCTTCTGAGGATTAAACCTTCTTTCTAATATTTATATGTGCTGGTGCCGTGCCTTTTTTATTTTAATTTCTTCCTCCTTTTTCTTTAACTGATTTTACTATTGACTTTAACATACTTTTGAACAAAATTCTTAGACCCTGTGAATTTTTATATATATATATTTATCTCTCTTACTGTTTAAAATTCTTGTACTAAATTATAAAAAATTTCTCACGGCAACAAGTTATCAACTTAAATAGGAATGTGCATGATCGCAACATAATTTTAGTACAGAATTTGAACTATTGTTTAATATTTAATCCTTAAGTAAAGAATTTACAAGATAACATGATATATTTGTAATAGGTTAATTAAGTACAAAATTATGCCATATAAAAGTATAACCTTTTTTTTATCACGTAAAGTTAAAGAGGGACCAACCTTTAATTTTGTCTTTCATAGACAACAATTGTTGAGAGTCGATCAAGTCAAGCAAGTGAAAACAAAAATATTAATATACATCAGCTAATTTAAAAATTATTTGGTTCCTATCTTTTTAATTTATATATTATTTCTAATTCAAAATAATAATCATATATAACTTTATAACCTTTCAATTTAATTTTTATTGAATTTGAATATTAAAATATTTTTATTTTTAAAAAACTAATTATAGAGGCCTAAAATTTGCCTGACACATTAACCACGATTTAGAGTCTAATTTTGGAACTATTTCGTTCAATCCATTTAATAATATCCACATAATTAGAGGTGTCAGTGAAGAATCTAAGAAGCTTGGTAAGTTTTGGACTAGAAATCTTCCCACGTCTAAATACTTCATCCATTTTTCTCTATATACATATATAATTCCTAAATAACCACATTCATGGGGAATAAGAATCAATAAGTGTGCTATTTTTTAATTGCTAACTTACTAATTATAATTAATTAATTTAAATTACATTTGTTTTGTTAACGCAATTGTTTATAATGGTAATGTATAGTAACTCTATCTTTATGCATTATAAATTATCAAAACTCATATACTACTGTTACTTAAAGTTTTACCCACTATTAATATATTTAAAAAATTAAATGATTCTAAAATAAATCTTACATAATTATTTTTATTTAATTAAAATTTATCATCTAAAATATTCTTCTATTTACGTTATTAAGTAATATAATAATGTAATATAAATTATTAAGACTCACTAATATTCATTTTCGATTAATTATATACATATAACTAATATAAATATATTTCTTATAATTTTTATTTTTATGATTAATTAAAAATATATCTTCTCAAATATTTTTCTATTCTTTATTATAAATAATTTATTTATCTACTTAAATTAAAATATTTTTAGCATATTAATATAGCAATTTGTAATATTATTACACAGCGTCATTATTTTTATAAACTTATCAAATAATATTTTAATCTTTTTATTGAATGATTATCTTTATTAATCAATTCAAATATATTTATTCCTTTCATTAAATATAATTAATTTTATATTTTAATTTTTTAAGTCACATTTCTAACTTTAATATATTAAATAACTAAATACTTAATTACTTTATTTTATTTGTTCATTTTATTATATAATTTTTTTAACATCGACATGTAATTTACATTACTTTTAGTTATCAAATAAATTTTAAGAGATTTATGTATAATTTATGCTATCTTAAATTTTTTTTCAATATAAATCTTTAAATTCAAATATTTTATTTATAAATAAAAATAACTTTTTTAATAATTTGCAATATAGCTATATGATTTCCCTTCGCTTTCTATATTGTTTTATCAAAATACTTTTTTTATATATGATGTGTATACAACTGCGTTATATTGTATTATAAACATTATAATTTTATCAAAATAATTTTAATTTTAAATTAAATTTCTTTTACTAAACTTATTTTTAATCAACAAAATTCATAATTTTTATGATAAAATCACATGACTTTGAGTTCTCCATACACTTTGAGATATGTAGAAGTAAGAGAACCAACTTCAGGTGCAACAAAAAGATAAATGAGTATAGAAAATAGATTCTTTAGGTTGTTATTTAGTGTAATATGCGTATTCATGATTATTTGAACTTTTTTGTGGTCCTAATAGTGTAGATCAGTATACGGCAGATGCCTTGCAAAGGCTATAGAGAGGGAAGGTCCCTCTTAAGTGTTTAGTATTTTCTTGAAAATTGTTGTTGAATGCACTTCCTTGTAAAAGTTTGCTAATTGATTGTGGTGTTCAAATTGATGATATAATTTGTTGCTTCTGTCATAGTTTGAAAAAACTTCCAACTCATTTGTTTTTAACGTACTCAGTTTCTTATCAAATCTGGTATTTTACGACGCGTTGGCTTAGATTTTCACTGATTTTTCCTTCAGATTTATTGACTCACTTGCTTTTTTAGGTTGGTGTTGGTTGCAGTAAAAAAGAAGAGATATGTTTATTAATTATTTGAGTAAGTATATTGTGATCTTTGTGGTTACATAAAAATAGAATAGTATTTTTTAATGGTGTTTTGAATAAAAAAAAAAGTCAAAGATTCTATTATTCTGAGGTCCTTAAAATGACTATAGCTTGTTAGTAAGGGAAAAACTATTTTGTTAGCAGAATAATATTTAAATCCACCAAATTGTATCCATCTTAGCTTTACATAAGTATGTTTCTAATTTTTATTTTGCTGAGTAAGTATTAATTATTTTTTTGTGTAAATAAATTTTGAGTTTCCCTTGAATTTCCTCTAATTTGCTTAATGAAAAAAAGAAGAAGTATGAGAACCAACTTATCAAGTCAAAACACTACTAAAAAAAAAACTTCTCTCTTTTCTAAAATATTAATTAACATTTCAATAAATAAATTTTATTTAAAAATAAAAATAGTAGAAATTAATGGTGAAAGGTTAAATAAATATTTTTAAAATTAATAAATTTACACAATTAATTTAAAGTAACTTTTGTTTAAACAGATGTTGTAGTACTAATATTTTTCTTGCACACATGAAAGACTTTCAAACTCTTTTTTTTTTTTTTTTCAAAATCATAATGTTCTAATTTTTTTTTTCAAAATTTTAATAAATTTTGGTTATGACTCTTCTATTTTTTTTTAAATATTTTATTCTTAAAAAATAATTTTTTTTCTTAAAACTTTTCTCTGTCTGACCGAGAAAACAAAAGATAAGTTGCATAATGGTTCTAACGCACAGTAAAATATTTATTATTGAGTCTAACACGCTGCGTCATAAATGATAAGATATCTTAATTTTTTTAAAAAACAATATTGGGTGTTTTATTTTTCATTTTAGTTTCATTTTAGGCACCTGCATCGTGGATGGAAGGGGAAAATGCATATTAAACAAAACAGGTAAGGTAAGATTCACGGATCTAACTGTTGAATCATCTACATTACTTTTATAATTATTTATATAAAATTTTATATAATGTAGACATTTGTTAATATATTATCTAAAATTTAATATTTTTTTATCTTTCAAAATTATACTATCCATTAAAATAAAATAATACAATGAAGTATTTAAGTTAATGTTTGATAAAACAAGCTAGCTGTGAAACTAGTGTATTTAAAATTAAAATAATTTAACAAACTAGATGTGTAACTAGCTAATTAGTGTTAAATAACTTAAAAGAATATATAGTATATTATATTAACATAATATTAAAATTTGTTACTTAGTTTATTTATTTATAATCAATTAATTAAATAATTATATAAAAAATAAAGTTTTTCTTCATATATTTAAACATAAAATATTTATAGGCATATTTTTTTTAATATCAAATACATTTGGATAGAAGTTATAGAAAAGCATATAAAAAAAGAGAAAAGAAGAAAATAAATGAGATTGTTTTGAACGTGAAGAGAAAAAAATAAAATTAACATGAATACTTTAAGTTTTAATTTTACAAAAAATAAAAATATTGATAGTTAACTTTTAAAAACTAATTTTATATAGTTTTTGAAAAACTAAATTTCAAAAGTTACGACATTTTATCTCGTATGTAACATGCATTTCTACAAGCTTATTGACTTAGTTACAAATTTCTAAATAAAGTACAGGTTACATTTACTAACTATAGGCTGGACTATGTTTATTTACAAACATAGATTTTTCTATGCACTCTTTTGTAGGAAATTATTTATAAATTATTATATAATAGCTAGTTTGTACAATTTTTATTGCCAATCATAACATTCAAATAAAAAAGCATTTCAAAATATAAAATCAAATTTAGTTGTTATACTATTATATATAATAGTAAAAGATACAATATCTAAGTAACAACTATACAGTGCATACAATTTTTGTTTTCATAAATTAACACTAATAGTCAAAATACAGTAAGCACTAATTTCCATTAGAGAAGCATCAATATTACTCCAACTATCATTTATGATTCATTTAAGGATATAGTAACAATTAGATTATTTACAATATTTTTATAAACAAAAAAATATTATCATTAAAATACTATTTTGGAAAAAGATTAAATATTCATCTAATGATTTTGGAAAAAGATTAAATAGAATAGCTTTGCCTTTTCTATTTTTAATTTCTTACTCTCTTCCTTTAACTGATTTTATTATTGATCTAAACATTCTCTTGACCAAAATTCTTAGACCGTGTGAATTTTTATATATATTTTTATCTCTTTTACTGTTTAAAATTATTATACTAAACTTATTAACTTAAATAGGCATGTGCATGAGCGCAACATAATCGTAGTACAAATTTGAACTATTGTTTAATATTTTAATATTTAAGTAAAGAATTTGAGAGAAAACATGATATATTTGTAATAGATTAATTAAGTACAAAATTATGCGATATAAAACAATAACCTTTTTATCACGTAAAATTGAAGAGGGTCTAAGTTCTAACCCTACATTTTGAAATGGCACGTGCATGAGCGCAAAATTAATTTAAGTATAAAATTT